TGGTAAGATTTCTTCCCTTTTTTTTATCCTTTTGAAAGAGGTCAGATTTCTTCTTTACAACCTTATAAAAATAAGGAAAAAGTATATATTTTGGCAATATGGAGAAGAATTATAGCATATTTTCTACCCAAAAAATGAAGGTTTATCAATGCAATGACTTTCAAGAAAGCTGATTTTAGTATCAAATTTCTTTAATCATCCCCTACTTAATTTTTACCATTAATTTTCTTTATCATAATTTGCATGAAATTAGTTGTTATAATTTATTCTTCATATTTATGGCCAATCGTTATACAGGATAATTAAAGTGCTCGAAATGTATTTTTATTAATTTATGTTAAAATTATTTTTGTAAAAAAAGTTTACTTATCGTATTAAAAAATTTATAAAGTTTCATTAAATCTTACTCACTCTTTCTAGGTTTGTCATAGGTTTGTCATACTGATCTTAATCTTTGGTTCTCCCATTTATTCCTTCTACTAACCAAATTGCAGACATAATTACCGAGCCTTTAGCCTAGGCAAACTTTTTCATATTCGAGACAAACTTGGAGTTCAATCTTTGCCCCCACTCCAAGTTGAAGGATGATGAAAAACATCAAATGGTGTCGAACTATCCTAGACCAAGAAATTCATTAAAAGCCCAGCTGGCTTTCTTTCCTTTTCCACAGCTGGTCCAACAACTAGTCTTTTATTTTGAGCTTATTTAGGAAAGTTTTGATATCCAAAACTTTTCCATATGACAGCATATCTTTTGGGCTCAGTTAGGAAAGTTTTGATATCCAATACTTTTCCTTAAGAGCCTATCTTTTGCAAATACTTTGCTGTCATTTTTTTCTCCTTTTTCATGTCTTTTGTGTTTTTAGTATAAACTAGCCATGTAACATCTTTTCAAATCAATCAAGTCTAGAGCAATTCATTCAATTTCTTTCCATAGTTACGTCATTTGTTTTATGGTATCAAAGTTCAAAAGATAGAATCCGACGAGATTGGTGAGTCAAAAAATAATCATCATATTGAGTAAATATGTTAAAGATCTCATATTAAAAAGATAAGAGATTTAACAAAGATTTGTAATAGACATGAATTACTCATCTTATTGCTAACATGTTTTGAAATGAACTCCATAAATATTAATTGCCAGCACTCATCTTTTGTTCACCATCATTAAATTTTTTACAAGTAGAGGAGGGAAATGTAGAAAACTTCTCTGTCAAGTGTCCATCGTCGATCTCCCAGTAGCCACTTGGCCAACCTGTCCTCCTTCTCATTCATCGTGCTACTCTCTCTTCCTTTTTTATTTTTTTAGTACATYATGTGAGAGTGGGAGATCGAACTCACACCCTTTTGATTAAAGGTATACGTCAATTATACCATCGAAGAAGGGGACTCTTTTTTGTGAACTATGTTCGCTTTGACAATCTCTCTTCTTGATTTTTGGGTATTCTAAGACATGATCAGATTCAGAGTTTCCATCACAATATTCTCCCATTTCTCTCTACCATTCCATGTGTGTGCTTGCGGATGCAAATGGTTGAAGATATATGAATCTCCAAGGTTCGTGTCTTTGGACCTACTGCAACTCCAAGGTTGATTTGTGGGTGCTTTCGTAAATAGGTATCTTCTAATTCTATTTATTTTTTTTAGAGGAAAAAAAATCTATTTTCTATATCTTCCTTTATATATATTTATCTCTTGGCTGTTAATTTTTTAATAGTGGTAGTAGGAAATATTTAAACCACCTAAACTTTTTTTTGTTTTTTTTTTTTGAAAAACAAACCACCTAAATATTATTTGAAAAAATAATGAAAGAGAAAATGTTATGTAAACTAAAATTAATAAAAGTTGTCAAATTATTAAAATTGTGGCTTAAAAATGCCAAGTCACTTTTTTATTAGTCAATTAAAGGTCCACTTAAGGGCATAATTATTTAGAATCATTTTTTAAATCTCAACCACTTATTTTATAAATAGACACCAAGAACAATATAATCAAATAGACACCAAACTCAACTCTCATGTGGATTAAAAATTTATTTTATCCAAAAAWTTTTAAGATTTTATGATTTGATTCCTCGTTGAAAATTGTGTATAAATATATAGTAAAGGTTTTGAGCATTCTATACATAGAGAAACTTAAAAAGCAAGGAGAGGCTCAGTGTTGAAAGATATGAAGATCAGTCCAACCTTTGGCATCACTCTCTTTTTGCTTCTTTTGGTATGCAATTTCTTTACTCTTACTCCTTTTTGCTGCTTGTTAAGTTCGTCGTCGATCGGGGACGGATTCCTCGCGAGTAACCCATCCCTTACTAGGGACTTCTCGTTCCCTRCCCCTCTCTCAAATAGCAGGAATGGGGACCTAAACGTCCCCGCATGGACGACGAGGATGGGGAAGACATTCCGTTTCCAACCCAATCACCTCCCTTCTTGGTGTGTTTCTCAAAGATAATTTTTTTTTTTATCCACCAGATGTAGGGTTTAGGAGTTTTAAACTAAACAATTTCAACCTTTGTGTGATTTTTGAAGATAATTTTAGGGCTTTTTTTGTCCGAGTTCCTACAATATTTGTCGTTAAACCCCACTTTCTTTTTCTTCTTAAACTTTTAATTTCATTCTCCATTGAGAAACCTTTGAAGTTTTCAAAAGAAATTGGGCATTATTACGAGAACCTAAGCTTGTAAATGGTGATATCTCGATCATTTACTCTTTTCTTATTTCTTTCATTTCATGGTGGGGCATTTAATTAGCTTGTCAGCAGCATAGAATCAAGATATGAACACTGGAGAAAGGTGATGGAAGACGAGCCATTACCAGCGAAGAAAGATTGCCTTGATCATACACAGCTTGAAAATAAAAAGTCTTTCGTTAGGGATATCGAGCCACGGCCGAGTGTCATGTTTTATCCCAATGACGTCAAAATAAAGTTTTTCATGAAAGATATAGAACCACCACCAAGTGCCATGCTTTATCCCGATATTGTCAAAACAAAATTTTTCGTCAAAAAAGATGTAGAGTCACGACCAAGTGTCACAATTTATCCAAATGATGAGAAGATAAAATTTGTCGTCAAAGATATAGAGCCACGACCAAGTGTCACATTTTATACCGATGATATCAAGACAGAGCATTTTGACAAAGATATAGAGCCACAACCAAGTGCCACATTTTATTCCAATGATGTCAAAACAAAGCTTTTCATCAAAGATATAGAGTCACGACCAATTTTCACGTTTTATCCAAATGATGTCAAGACAAAACTTTTTGTCAAAATATAGATCAGCCACGAWCAAGTGCCGCATTTTATCCTAATGATGTCAAAAGGCAAGTCACTTTATAATCTCCATCGATAGATCTTCGTGAGAAATTTCATGTTTAATAAATTTTAAAAASAATATTATATTACCCAATATTTGTTTGCTCCTTTTTTTTTAAAAAAAAACAATTGTTAGTGATTTTTTAAAATTCATTTTTAATTCTTTTATGAAAATTGTTTGAATTATGGAAATTCATTTTTAACAGAAAATTTTATGTAATTATGAAATTTATAGACATTTTTAAAATTCACAGATGGACACAAAATTGAACGTTGTGATCCTTTTAAACATAAAATTCAATTTTATGCATGTAGTTTTAATYTTTATAAAATATGGAATTGGTTAATGATTTTACACAAAATCAAAATTGACATYGGTAACATTATTCATTTCTTGTTTTTCATTTTCAGTTTTTTAAAAACATAAATGTTTGGTAACTGCTTTTATTTTTCATTTCTTTATRGAATGTTTCCAAAATTCTTGTTTTTTGGTTCCCGTTTCTTAGTTTTCTTCAAAACATAAATAAAATCGTTATTTTATCATTTTCAACTTATAAAATGTATGATAAATATTTTTAAAAAATTAATATTTAATTTAAAATTTTAGAAAACCAAAAATAAGAAATAGTTACCAAAACCTGCTCCGTTTCTTTTTCAATAAAAAAATAATAATAAATAAGAAATAGTTGTCAAGTTTTATTTTATTCATTAAAAGAATCCAGAAGTAGGAAAATTACATAACAATTCTTATTAGATATTTTTTGTTACTTGACCCAACCAAGTCTATATAAGGACTTGAGCACTCCAAAAGTAGTTAGGGTATCAGGGTGTCGCTTTCCCTGATGAAGACTCGCCACAAATCAGTAGGTCAGAATTTCGGATTAGAGTTGGTCGAAATATTTTTTCCATTATATATATATATATATATATATATATATATATATATATAAAAGATAGAGAATATCTAAAAATTGTCTATTTAAATGAGGATGCTAGCGGATAATTAATCAACCTTTTAAAATGATAGTATCTAAAGAAAAAAAAAATAGAAGTAGACGATAAAGCATTCTCAAGACCAGAACCGACCCGAACCATGTGAGTTTGGAATCCTTGCTCCAAACCCTAYAAATTTAAATGAGAAATTTCCTAGGAGAGGTGAATGACCCATTCCCACCCTTCATACACTACTAACTCCAAAATAGACTTTTTTTTTYTAAAACTAAGAGTTTGTTCRATCAAAATATTGCATAAAAGACAATCTAAAATCAATCGGTAATATAACATCACATCATAAAATTATCTATAAAATTATTAACAATTTGATTAAACCACTAATTTTTGATAAAAAATTGTGAGTTCGAATTCTCAATTACTGTATATTAAAAAAACAAAAAACAAAAAACAAATCAACGAAGCATTTAGCCATCAAAATTGTCTTTTTAAATAATTCTTCTAACATAAAAATTGCAACATAAATTTGAAGTGAAATTCAAAACTTGTTTTTTTCACTGGTTGTATTAATTTGTTAATATAATAAATACCAAATCAATATAAATAACATGTCAAAAAAATAAATATAAATGAATAGAGCTTTGTAAAAATTAGATTTTTTTTTTCTCTTTTCCCTCTGTCTTTGGAAGCAAAAAATTAGAATTGTAACTTCAATGATGGTTCTGAATAACAATATAATGAATCAGCAATGGAGTTCTCAAAAGCAAACACTATCGTCTACGGCTGAATCCAACATCGAAGGAGCGTCCTTAGATGGAGGAGAAGCGCCGCGACGCCGCAAATTTGCCGGTGAACAGCACCGATTCTCCCTCAKCGGAGCCGCCTTCGTCGCGTCGTCGAGCCGGAGCTCAGAAGCGGAAGGCCAGCGCTCTTGGCGTCTCTAACACCTCCTCCGCGCCCTCCAAACGTGTTACTCGGGACAAGTCTGCGCTCTCGCATCCTCAAAATCATAGCGGCCCCTTCACCCGAGCTCGACTGGGCCCTAACAATGTCGCTGGAACAGCATCGGGTAATGCGGCTGGAGGTCTGGCCGCCGCCGCCGCGGGATCGGTTAAGCTGGAGGGCTCTGTTCTTCATTCGGAAGTTCAGCGTGGAGAGGCGATAGTCGCCGCGGCGGAGGAATTGAACAAGGTGAGTAGATTGGCGAATTTGGAGGCGTCGTTCGAAGCTGATTTTGAAGCTATTAAATCTCGGGGTGCGGATGTTCATGCCGTTCCGAATCACTGCGGTGAGTTTTGGTGTATTGTTGTGCGAGATCCTGATTTATGCAATTTATGATAGGGGTTTGTCAAAATGACCTCCCTGTTGAGAAATGGGGGGTAAAGGAGAAATTTAGAAGTGAGACCTTGGTGTTTAAGTACCGTGAAGAAAAGCTCCCCAATTTTCTTTCTTGTGATTATAAATTCAGCATCTCAATGGCGAATATCTAGAATGTACATTTTTGGCTTCGTTTGTCTGTTTCAATGGAAGTTCAATGCACGAACGAGAGTAGTTTAAAGAGAAAATGTGTATAAGGAAATGGTGGAAGAAAGAGTAGTTACATGTTGRGCTCCGTTTGCTTTTCTAAAACTGTGGTAGAATGCAAGAAAATGAGAAAATTTTTTAGCCCTCTTTAAAGTTAATGGTGTTCGGGTGAATTGTGAATAAGGATGGTTTAAGCAACAGGAAATTGGATCCCCTTCATAACTTTCTAGCTTATTTGTTGTGGCTTTGTTCCATGCTTCATTTTGTAGAAAACCTCAAAGGGTTTCAAAAATACAGGGCACTTCTAATGARTAAGTGAAAATATTATCTTGTCATCTTGTAGATTATCGCATTGTAGGTTGGAGAAAATTCGGGGTTTGGGGCCTTGTGTCAATACCTAAACAGAAAAACTCTCCAATTATTTAATCTTTTTTATTGTGTGCATGTGTGTGTGATTTTATTTTGTGACTCAATGACGAATTGGATTAGGCTTCAATTGTCTATTTCCATTGAAGTTCAATGCATTTTTGAATTGGCCTCAAGATGTAAACTCTAAACCTGGTTAATTTTTTGGTCGTGAGTGAGTGATTTCTGCATCAGCAGCAGCCTAAAATAAAAGGTTCATGGCAGTGCACCAAATCTTCTTTATCTGGCTACTTTTATGAAGGATGATCTATGCTGTCTTGGATTGGACATTCTAAGGTAGTAAGCAATAGGTGTCTGTTGTATGTTTCATGGACATGAAGGAGTTTCGATCAATAGTTTCTGTTCCCTTTTTTGGCCTCTATTTCTTGTGTGCATGGTTTGCCTCTTACAGCTTCTCAATTAGCTAGAATATGTAGTGAKTTTAAATTGACCTAGTTAGCGGATTGCTTGCTACCTTAGAATTTAACCCTGCAATAAATTTAATCCTTCCATGCTTGACAAGTTTTTCCTTTCTGATCCCTAGATCAAGCTTAATCTGAGGTTTKCTTTCCTTTATTAGTAAAGAGAGATCCACAAGTTTATTAATTGTTGCTTGATATTTGTTTTCAGGTTGGTTTTCATGGACAAAAGTCCATCCTATTGAGGAACGCACGATGTCTTCTTTTTTCAGTGGAAAGTCTGGCACTCGAAGTCCTGATATGTATATTGACATACGTAATTGGATTATGAAGAAATTCCATGCAAATCCTAGTATGCAAATTGAATCAAAAGATTTATCAGAGCTGGAAGTTGGAGAACTGGAAGCTAGACAGGAGGTGATGGAGTTTCTAGACCACTGGGGTTTGATTAATTTTCATCCTTTCATACCCACCGATTCCACTTCAACAAGTGACGTTGACGATGAAAATCTGAAGGAATCTTTGGTTGAGAAGTTATTTCAGTTTGAAACATTAGAATCCTGCCCATCTATTGTTCCAAAGACTAATGTTACCACCACAGCCCCACCTAGATTGCTCCGAGAATCTGCAATTCCTGAGGAGATGGTGAGGCCTGAGGGTCCATCTGTTGAGTACCACTGTAACTCGTGCTCTGCTGATTGCTCTAGGAAACGGTACCACTGCCAGAAGCAGGTTGGTTTTCAATTCAAAACTCCCTTAAACAGTTTATTGTTGGAATATCAAACTTGTATTTTAGATAACGTGGCTGCAAAACCATGTCATTTGGTTAAATTTGTGTGTATTTATATACTTTTTACTTACTTAGGGGGCTAGGTTCTTTAGTTTACTCTGGGCTATAAGAGAGGGGCGTGAGGTGAGGAAATGGAAACAAAATTTTGTATCTTAGTGTTTTTTCTTCACCACTCATGTCACTTGCATTTGTAAACCATATTATTAAATACTAAATACTTTCCGAGTTTGAGTTGAAATGACTATGTCAATATTGTTGAGGATGAATGTTTAAATTACTTGGAGTTATCTAGAATCTGTGTAGTTATTGGCTGTGTTTCATTAGGCTGAACTTTTAGTCCATCTTTTGATACATGCCTGAATGTAGCTTTGGAAAAAGYAAGATTTGAATTGAAGTTCAAACCAATTTTCTTTTTGAATAACAAGATTGGTGCACTATTTGATGCTATTTAAAAAATAGCTCTAATGCTACTAGGGATATTTAAATATCATGAGTTGTCAAGTCAGAAGTTACATAATATATATATATAYACACACACACAATTCCATATCAACTGATAATATTCATCTTTGACAGGCAGATTTTGATTTGTGTAYGGAGTGCTTTAACAATGGGAAATTCGATTCTGATATGTCTTCATCAGATTTTATTCTCATGGAGCCTGCTGAGGTTCCTGGTGCTAGTGGAGGTAAGTGGACAGATCAGGAGACTCTCCTCCTCCTTGAGGCTTTAGAGCTTTACAAGGAAAACTGGAATGAGATTGCAGAACATGTGGCCACCAAAACTAAAGCTCAATGTATATTGCACTTCATTCAAATGCCAATTGAGGATACCTTTCTTGAATCTGAGGACAATGTTGAGGTCAGTCCAAAAGAAACTGCTGTTCCACCTTCAAGCGAAAATGATTCGTCAGTTCCTGCTGATATCACTGAACCAATGGATAATAAGCCCACTGGAAAAGAGGCTTTGAATGTAGAAAATGCGAACAAAGACGATACAGGTGAGGTAAAAGTTGGGCAGGAGAATTCAAAATCAGAGGATGTTGGAGATAAGGCTGCTTTAGATAAGTCCAAATCAGATGATGGTGGTCAGAAGGTTTCTGAAGACATTGCCTTGAATGCTTTGAGGGAGGCATTCGAAGCCATTGGTTATGTATYAACACCTGAGCGCCGACTGTCATTTGCTGATGTAGGGAACCCCGTCGTGGCATTGGTAAGTTGAAAGTTTGAACATAAGAACTAATTAAATAGGTAGTCCTCCTAATTTTTTTATCAATCTTGAATAACTTTCTATTCATTAGTAGATCCCAAATCAACTATAGTAGATTTGTCRTTTGTCAGATCAATATAGGGTGATTTCATTGTTATTCCGAGTCAGGTTAGGACTAGGTCTCTTGATTTTGAATTTCCTTGTTTTTCATTAAAAGCATCTAAAATTAAAACCACTATTTAGATTTGTGCAGTGAACCAAAACTTAGAGTCATCCCTTAAGTTGGTTACTTGTGTCTGTTGAACTTGGTTTCTGGAATTTTCATCAATATTCTTAGTCCCAAAGATGGATAYTTTGGATGACATGGCAGGCATCTTAATTCTTGTTAGCCTATAAGATGGAGCAGTTTGATGTTCACTTTGTATGAACTTTACTACTTTGCTTGGAGATGTATGTCAACTACGTAGCTTTTGCAAGCTTCTTGCAATATTTTCCCTTTCCTTTAATCATTATATATTTCAGTTCAAATAACTCTCTACGCTATAAAACATAGGTTTATCTTGAACCTGCCTTAGCCTTCTAGAATTTTGCTAAGTGATCTGTGTTTGTACACTATCCAAGTTCTGGCAGTTATCTTTACAAGTTCTCATTCAGTGGCTGTTAACATCACTCAGACTTACCTTCAGTTTAGTTATTATCATGTTTATCATATTTATAGATGGAGTGCAATGCTGAAGCTTATACTCTTTGTCCCTTCCCAGGAATAAGCACTCCTTATAACCATAAATTTCAGTYCTGATTGTTTAACTATTTAAATATTTCTTTTGCAGGCTGCATTCCTTGCACGCTTAGTTGGATCAGATGTTGCTAGTGCATCAGCGCATTTTTCTTTGAAAAGCATATCTCAGAAATCTCCCAGTTTAGAACTGGCTACAAGGCACTGCTTTATTTTAGAAGATCCACCAGATGACAAGAATGCACAATCTAATTCAGAGAGGTACTTGACGTTAAGACTTGACATGTTTGTTTCAGATTGGTTCTATTCTTTGATCACACCAATACTTTTGCAGTGTTGTAAATGTGGAAGCTCAGAAAAATGACAATGAACAGTGTGAAAAACAGAGACAAGACGATTCTACTTCAGTCTTAGATGACAGAGCCTTATCAACTAATAAAAGTAATAACAAAAATGGTGAATCTGTGACAAAAGAAACAACAGTGGATAATGGAAATTCTTCAGATGCTATTAGAGAACATGATCCAGTCATTATTCACGGTTCAGATGGAACAAGTAATTTGAATGAATTGAGAGAACCAGAATTGCTGAAGGATGAAAGAACAGGCATTGTGAAGGAATCTGAAAATCTAGAATCAAATTTAACTACAAATCCGGTTGAAAAGTTGGGAGAAGGAACTCATGTTGAAAAGCCATCACAACCAATATTGTCGTCAGAGGATGTACATATGTCAGATTTGGAGCATGCTGAAAGAACTGATCAGAAACAAGTTCCATCTCATTCTGCCAAAACTTCAAAAGATTTAGATGATGTACCAAATCCTTTACCCTCTGTGAATGAGCCTCAGCCACTAATTGCTGCCAATTCAGTGAAAGAAGCCTCGAATGATGGAGCTGTGGTGCTTGATTCTCACAAAAAATATGAAACTTCACAAACTGAAACATCTAATTCTGTGGTTGACCAGGGAGCAAGCACGGTCTCTGATTCTTTGCTCTCAGCAGACAATGCAATGCCACAACCAGTTAACCCGAATTCGGTGATTGAAAGTGGAGCAGGTACGTGTTTTCTTTCCCTCTAGATGTAACATTGTAGTTTTTGGACTTCCCACCAGTTTCAGTTACATTTTGCTGTTTTGTGAAGAAATTTGTTCAATGCTTTCCAAAGCTTTGCATGTTTTACGGGGATGGAGAATACAAGTTATTTTCTTTTGAATAATATTGACTTTGACTTGTTTTTAGGAAGTTTCTCGTGTACTGTGGTGTATGTTTCTGTAAAGAAGGAATCATCAAGAAAAGAACCGCAAAAGGAATGAAGGACTTCGTTGTTAAGTTTGCTATGAATTTTGAACTTGGGATTGTCCAATGATAAAATGCCTAATCTTAGAGAAAATCTTGTTTCTTAATGGTTCGATAAATTTCTTTTCACCTGCAAATRGGAAAATTCTTTCCTTCAAATTAGACAAGAGGTTAAGCTATATTTGATCATTGTCTGCTAGTTGTGATTTACTCTCATCCAATCAGTCCGAAGTGCGATTCTGACTTTTTTTTTTTTATTGATAAGAAACCTGAAGGTATATTAATCACAAAAAGGCAAACAAAACAACCTAAGGGCTGGGGGAAGAGTGATCCCCCACCCGGCTGGAGCTATAAGAYGACTTTCCAGYTGTTCATAAACATGGAACTGCCGTAGTTACAAAAGAATTTCCTATAATTAAGACAGCACCCGRAGGAGGTGCGTCACACTCCTACAAAAGAAAAAAATCTCGAAAGAAGAAAACTTATCTTCAAAGTTGCGGCGGTTTTTTTTCAACCAAATGTGGCAAAGGAGAGTTCTAGCAGCACAATGCCAAAGAAACTTTGCCTTTAAAGGAAGCGACCAGATCACTAAGACCTCTTGCAACCAGTCATCGATTTGCTTGGGTAAGCAAATGGAAAGACCAAACAACTAAACAACTACATCAGAAATGACCAACCTTGAGCAGCAAATGGGCAGTGAATAAAGATATGGTTAATGGACTCATTACTTTTTAGGCAGAGGCTGCACAGCGAAGGGGAAATGGCCCAAGAATTACACATATTTTGAAGGATGTCCTGAGTGTTTAAACTCTTATGAGCCAAGGACCATAAGAAGACTTTAACTTTCTTCAGATCTCTGAACTTCCAAATAGCAGGGATGAGGGAGTATTTCAGCATGGAGTCGACTTTGACAGCTTCAAAAAAACAGACCATGTGGAGAAAACACCTTATCCTAACAACCAGTAGACTTTGTCTTTCCCTTCCCCTAAGTGAACCACATCCAGCAACTTAATAAGACCCAACCATTTTCCAACTTACTCCATTTTCCTGTTTCGAGTTCCCATTTTGGTGAGTAAAAGGCATCAGGGAATCCATGAGGGACTTCTTATGGGAAAGGGTTAATGAAGGGGTGGCTCGCATTTGATTAGGTGGGAGATCATCTCACGTCCTCTGGCTCACTGGGTTCGAGTATTGGTAACCTAAGGTTGCATAATGGGGCCCTGTTGGCCAAATAGTTGTGATGTTTCTTTAAGGAACCAGATGCTTTATGGCTTGATCATCGTGAGTAAATACGGTGGGCACCCTTTTGAGTGGGTCTCAACTTGTGGGTGTAAGGCCGTTCAGCATTCTGGTTTCCACTTGTTCTCTCAATTTTTAAAATGCTTTCTTGGGATGGTACAGATCATTATTTTTTGAGAGGATTGTTGGGTGGGAGATAAGCCTCTTTGTGCTTTGTTCCCTCGTTAATATCATCTTTCTGATAAGAAGTTGCTGATGGCCTCAGTTATGCCTTCCTCAAGTCCTAACTTTTCTTTCTTGCACTGGAGTTCTTTCTTGAATTAGTTTTTTGTGCGGGAGGGGGCTCCCTCTGCCCCTGCCCCTACTGCTGTACCTCTTTTTTGTGAGTAATGCATACACACTTTTCTTATTGAAAATAAAAAAATAATWAAAATAGAAGTTCTAACTTTTCTTTATCGTTAGGCTTCCATCATCCTTTATTGGACAGGGAGATCGTGGAAGTGTCTACCCTTCTTTCTCTTCAGGGTAATGTTCAGGTGTGTTCGGGGAGGAGGGATATTCGTTTTTGGGCTCCCAACCCTTCTAGGGGATTCTCTTGTACCTTARTGTTCGACGTTAAGGTACTTGCAACTAGATTTTAGAAGGTAATTAGTGACTATTTCAAAGAATCTATCAGCTATTATAATGAGATATAAATTGTTGATCAAGCGGTAAAAAAGGTTTAGAAGCAGCATTTTTCTTCTTGGAAGAAAGTGTAATTTTCTAGGGGGAAGCTTACCACAATCCACAAAACCAATCAGTTTTAAGTGAAGATCTCGCTTTATTTCTTGTCCTTGAAAATACCCTGTCTAGAGAAAATTATGACAGATTTCTTGTTGGGAGGGGGTGGGGAGAGTTGGGTCTAGGGGTTGGAAATTCAGAGCTGAAGAACATTGTGCTCTTTTCTATGGGGTTATGACATTTTTCCTTGCAGCTTGATTTGCCTTCTAGCATAAGATTATTGTGACTCTTGAGAAATTAAATGGATCAAATGGAAAAAACCTGCTTGACATCTTTTCCTCATCCATGATGTTAACTTAACTTCGTGTTTCAGGATAGGTGTTTTTGGTGCTCTGAGTCATCCAATATTTTTTCTTTCAAATCCTTCTTCGAATTCATGGGATGTGAGAAGTTGAGGGGGGAAAGTGTAGCGGAGACTTGTTTGAGAAATTGTCTCAAGAGAAGCATGACTTCTTTAATAGACGAAGTGTCCTAGGTTTCTTGGAAATCTGATTCATAGTATTTGGAAAGCTTGTTTCTTTTGGAGTGATAGTCCCTCAACTCAATAGGGTCTTCTGGAGGCATCTTGATTGTGCAGAAATGGTAGCCTTTCTAGCCTGGGAGTGGTGCATGGATCTGGATCATTTACTTTATCCATTCACTTTCATAATCGGGATAATCAGTCGAATTGGATTACAYGTGTCTCCTTGTTCTGTGACCAAGGTTCCCCACTGAAAAGTCCAATGAAGGCAGATTCTCTAGATCTACCTAGGCTTTAAATACTTCGATTGACGAGTTTGGCTTGTTGGATCCCCCTTTTGTAAATGAGAATTTCACGTGTTTTATCATGCGTTTCATTGCAGTCTGCTGTAGTTGGACATGCCCCTGTTATCAAAGGGTGAGTGGAGTTCTTTCAGTGGTTTAGGCAATCTATCTATCCCAGAATTAATTCTGATCGTTAGTCTATTTCCCTTTCTTCTGCGTGTATATCAGGTGGGATCCTTGTCCTCTTAGACAAAAAATTGTGGTTAATATTCTATTCCTCAGTGGTGGTTAAGTGATGTGAGAGGAAAGTGGGAAGACTTTTTCCCCTCGGGACAGACAAGTAAAAAGTTACAATAGTTGCTAAAGATGACATCAAAGTGAAACAACAAAAGAATTACAGAAACCTCCCTGAATACTAGTCACACAAACCACCCTAACCCAAAACTCAAACCCCTCGAACCCCCATTTGTAATCACACAATCCTAAATACTCCCTACAGGAAACATTCAAAATAGGGAAGGAAAATAGCAACCTTGAATCTTTATCTAGAGATATTCATCTCGGACAATCTTTCTTTAGACAAAAGACGATTTGTATTAATACAAGAAACAAAAGAACAGCCTAGAGGCAGGATGAGAAAGCCCCCTACTTCTTGATACAAAGATGAAATGACCCTCCCCTAATTAAACACGTTAAAATGCAATATAAGTCCTAAAAATTTCAAATTCAAACACTTTTAAGAACCAAAGGTAAGCTGAATCATAGCTTTCCAAACAAACGAACTGCTAAGTTTTGAACAACCCAAGTTCTGTAACACCCCACCACCACCACCACCAAGCCTCAGATATCCTGCTAGTTCTCATAATATTGACTTCACCGCATTACTCCACAACCTTTTAGCTCTTCCCTTGAAAAAAAAACAATCCCCCTAATAATTGTTCCACATTTCCTTTTTAGTGCATGATGAAAAATCCATGGTAATCCTGAAACATACAACAAAGCCTTTCTTCCCTTGGGTCGTTATTCTGGGATTGGAATGTGTCTCTGTCTTTAGTGATAAAGAAACAGGAAATTTGATACATAAAAGGACTTGAATTCTCTTGAAGAAAGCAATAGCCTAAATTCAGAGGGAGGAGAGAAGTAAACTTCTAAATGTGTATGAGTTGCTAGTGCAGATAGAGGAAACRAGTTAGAGCCAGATATCAAGAGTTTCGTGGGAAGAAACCAGATTGTAACCCTTCATTTCTTTCATAGAATTGCCACTTTCAGGAGATGCAAAAACTTAGTTTTGTCTCTCGTGAATGATAATGGAGTAACCACTCAAGGGGCAGGGAGGTGGAAAGAGAGGTGATTAATTTTTTAACCTTTTGTTTGCACCACCTCAAGTTTCTAGGCATTTTGTGGATGGGTTAGATTGGCGTCCTATAAAAGTAATACAGAGAAGGCATAGTTTAGAAAGGCCCTTTATTTTTATTAAGCAGGTAGTGTTTAGTTTTAATGGTCGTTGGGGCCCAATTAAGACTTGATGACCTTGTTTCAAGAGTGTTTGGAGACTATTAAATTTCGATTTTATAAAGGTGTAGACTTCTTTGAAAGAAGTACTATTGATGATCCTACTATGAATAAGATCTTCATCTACCTACTCCCAAGAAAGAAAATTTTGGCAGAGTGAAGGACTTCTAGACGATCAGTTTTATGGCTTAGTCTTTATAGAAAGGACAAACTATTTGACCATTGGAACTACGTCTGGTTCTTGTGCACGAGATGGTATGATTTCTTGTGGTTTTCTTTCTTGCTTTCGTTTTTAGAGGATTTCTCATCCTTTGTTTCTCGTAATCATTATATTATGTCCCGTGCAAACCATGTTTGATCTGCTTTGCTGAATCTTTAAACGTGTGGGAAACAGTAGTCATATTGTGATTTGCTGAACTTTAGGAGTCCTGAGAACACTCAGTTATATGTTATATAATGAATCTTCTTTCATTTATGTGATTAGGAACCGTTGGGCGAGAAGTTATTGGAGATCTAGAACTGTTGAGTTATTTTATCTTTATAAACTGACTGTCTGTATTCTTTATTTTACCTATGTATTTGTTCTTAACAGGTGATAATCAAAGCAAGGACAATAAAGAAGAAAAATCCAGTTGTACAAGTAAAAAAGAGGATAAAATCGATAAGTTGAAGCGTGCTGCAGTTACRACACTCTCAGCAGCAGCTGTGAAGGCAAAAGTTCTGGCTAATCAGGAAGAGGACCAAATCCGTCAACTTGCCATGATATTAATTGAAAAACAGGTATCTCAATCGAAGTTGGTCTTCAGTTTTCACCATTGTTCTCCGTCCACGCTTTTGACTGACATTTTCGTTAAACTACCCTCTGTTTTTGCAGCTSCATAAGTTGGAAAGCAAGTTGGCATTTTTCAACGAGATGGATAACGTGACAATGAGAGTGAGGGAGCAACTAGACAGGTCAAAGCAGAGGCTTTTCCAGGAACGTGCTCAGATAATTGCTGCTCGACTCGGCTTACCCGCTACATCGTCACGAGTCATGGCACCATCGTTGCCTGCTAACAGAATGGCCATGAACTTTGCAAACTCAGTTCCAAGGCCTCCAATGGGCATGACTTCCCAAAGGCCACCGACATCGGGACCGGTGGGTATGGCTGCTACTAATCCTAACCTCCAACCCCAACCCCAATATGCAACCACCAGTACCACAATTTCTGGGAGCTCATTTCGCCCAGCAAATCAGGACACAATTTCTTCTGTTGGGACCAAGTAAATCATTATTAGCTTGCTGGTAGAGATTGCAACCMTTTTAATACAGTAGAATTCACTTCAAGTTTACTGTGTAACCTGTTTATTTTTAATGTTGTATTATATCCAACYAAGCAGATTTCGAATTCTGAGAAATGAAAATATCTACTTCAGCTGCTAGTCTTTTCGTATTCACTGCAGGCTTCTTGGTCTCTATTTTGAAAGTTTATTGCTTCCCTGGCCTTACTTTAATGGGTTTCAATGGGGATCTTTTAATTAAATTGTATTTCTTAATTCTCATTATAATTATGGTTAACATATCTATTTAGAAAAGTTTGAAATTGAATCATAGATGGTAATAGATGGCTACTAATCTATGCTCTTTTAAAAAATATCATTTATATTTTCACACCGAAGGGAGAATGAAATTCCAAAAATTGTTATCTAAAGACTCGTCTGGTAACATTTCTATTTTTTAGTTTTTTTTATTTTTAACGAAAAAAAATATATTGCACAGTTCCAATTTCCAAGAATTCAATAAAATAATACTTACATACAATTGTGAAAATGTTCCCAAACAAAAAAAGGAAAACCAAGAACCAAAGTTTAAGTAAAATTCTTAGATTTAAACTAGTCCCGAATAAGTTCAAAACTACTTTGTTTCTACCTTTTAAACCTTTTAAGGATCGAATTAAATCCTTTAAATRGAAACCATCCTTCTTTTACCAACCAATTCTTTGAAATCATACTTTTCCCACCATAAGTGAAAAACAATTATTTGAAGCAGTTAATGGAGTATTATTGTAATCTACCCTTAATTATTGAATTAATTTTACTAGTTTCCATTAGCATACCATACAAAAACAAATTTGTGTTGTTTTSTATAGCTTTTTCCATTGCTTYTTCTGGTCATTTCTTTCTCACAAATGACAATAATTTAACATAAAGAATTAAAATTGCAACCATGGTAATGGTAACCAATCCTTGCCAGATTTAAGATACACTGAAGCAAGGATCAAAGCATATGAACAGAAGAACCAACATCCTATCAAATAAACAAGAATCACATAAACGTTCACTAAGAAGAATTACAAACTTATGCGACAAACTGAGCAAATGAGGCTCAGTCACAGTCAATCAATCACCAGACGGATAATGAATATAACCTAAGACAGTAAACACAACTTGCATAGACCAAACACAACTGAACTGATAATGACGGGACTCGTTCGAATGCAAAGCCAAATGTACAAATAGGAACGCRTAAAAAAGCCGAGTCTGTGGGGACCTTTATAGATGCCTTATGCTTTACTGGAGAATGGAATAGAATAAAAAGTGATTTGGTGTATTGAACTCAGCAGTCGCATCCAGATGATCTTGGCTGATTGTTGCTCCCGACATCAATGGTGTCGGGTAAGTATCTGCAATACCATGGCAACCATCAATAAAGGTTTTATGAAAGAGAAAATTCATAGCCAGGTATAGCTAAACTATAATTCATATTGGGTCCAGATTCTCCGCACGTGTTGCACTTCTACATCGAGCAACATGACATGCTAACCTCGGGAACAACAAAACTAGGTCAAGTTTCCCTAACCAACACCCATATCAAATTGTGTTGTCAGTATGAAGAAGAAAATTGAGAAATTATTACTTGGTCAACTGCATGATAAGGTATCCAGGGTTGCTTCATATTTTATGTATACGTACATCAAATAGTTGAGAATAGAGTTCTGAGAGACTGAGATTTAATTATATATTTGATCCTCAGTAATGATGGTTTAAGATATGAACTTACATTTCTTCCTCTTCCCCACTCTTGAGGGCGTTTTTTGCGATGCACTGGAATGCTTCTTCTACGTTAATGCCTTCTTTGGCAGAAGTCTCGAAGTATGGGATATTTCCTTTTGATGCACACCAAGCTCGTGCCTTTTTCTCTGAAACCTGAAGTATTCAGACACAGAAATGTTCAATTTACTATCTTCTAATGTTACGCCATGAAGAGTTTGTATTTTAACTAAAGGAATAGATACAAAGAGGGAAAGATACAATATAGAAGTTTAGGTAATACTTACAACTCTACTGTTTCCACCATCAACATCAACTTTGTTTCCTAAAACGACGAAGGGAAAATTTTCCGGATCCGAAGGGCTTGCCTGCAGATGGTTTTGCCAAAGCATGAAAGGAGTTAAGGGTTTTATCTTTTCAACTTATTTGGATTCTTTGTAAATGCCTTCCTGGTAACAAAATTATAGTTCATAAACACTGATGATAGAACCTGAATAAGGAATTCTTCCCGCCAGTTGTTAAGGTTGTCAAATGATTTCATTGAATTGACATCATACACCAGAACACAGCAATCAGCACCTCTGTAAAAAGCAACACCAAGACTTTGGAATCGCTCCTGGCCTGCTGTATCCCATATCTGTAAGTCATAAAATAATAAATTATATTTCTAGCCATTGAGCAACAGGATGTACCGACTCTCATTGTTGTTTGTTGGCTTCGTGGGTTTACATTAAACCCATAGATCCCAGGTACGAAGGGATGTTGATGACAGACAGCAATGGGATGTAACTAAATGGGATCTAAAAGTTCAAGGTTCAACTGCGTCCCTTACATAGTTACATGATAAGATGCAATGCAACACAAATATTTAAGAAATGATAATTATTTTCAAAAGATCATCAAATAAATTTTTATTGTCCCTGATCCATTGATTGAGTTATATCATTTTCCCTATAACAGACCGGGCGTAGGAAATTGCATAGTTTGAGTTTTCAAATTATGCAAGTTTGAAACACCACACAGTCGATTGAGGTGAAGTGCTAAAGTACTTTTCGATCACTTCAATTCATATTCAAGCCAATTCACCTAATTAAACTAATAAAAAACACGTGGCAACAAGAAGTATCCGCATCACTTACCTGCAAAGTGAAAAGTCTATCTTCGAATTGCACCTCCTTAGTCAAAAAGTCAGCTCCAATGGTGGCCTTGTATTGATTACTAAACTTCTTATTCACATATCTATTTTTCAATGTTAAAGTAAAACCATACGGAGAATCAAGTAACAGATACTCTGTGAAATGTAAGAACTGTATCAAAAAGAGAAACTGGAATTGGAATCTTCGATGGCAAAATGGTGCATTTTAACATTGTTAATTTAACAATCAAACAGGATACTGGTTCATCAAAGAGGTCTTCCCCACCCTGCAAATTCACAGACAAGTTTCAAATTACTACATTAGAAATGAAACAAGCTAAGCAAAATATAACAAACTGATCCAAACATTTCAGTTCCCCGCATCAGAACCTTCAATAACAGCCAAAGAAATGCCGCATTGATTGAAACAAACTCCTTCGTTTCAGTTTTATCGAGTACTATTGACCAAACAAGACAAATTCACATCCCAAAAAGTAAACCAACAGAGCCCAAAAATAGAAAGAAAGAAAGGCGAAAAAAGATCACTCACAAAACAAGTGCTCCTCAACAAACTAAGAATCACTCCTGACAATAACCCAAAAACCCAAAGCATAAAAAAAAAATCTAAAATCCGACTACACCGATCTTTAAACCCCATTTGAATCCCCTTCCCAGATCAAAGGCCACCAAATTCAAGAACCCACACAATAAAATTCCCAAAGTTCCGAAACCAACGATCTGTCTCGATCCGTCGATTATTGGAAAGAAAACCCAATAACCCCAAACAGAAACAGAGAGGAGCGACAGTGATTCTCACCCGCTATCCCCAAGGATGATGACCTTCAAGAGCGTCCTTCTTCGGGAAGGCATCGTATGGGAAGTGGGATCAATTCAATCTACAGAAGGAGAGAGAGAGAGAGAGAGAGAAAGAGGAAGAGAGAGAGAGAATTGTCGAAGAAGAGAGGTTTCTGGTCTCTCTCTCTCTGGTCAGACGAAGGCCAAGCTGGAGTGATCTGTGAATGGGAAAACTATGAAATATTTGGGAAAATGACTCATATAACCCTCCCGGTTTCTATTTTGCTCAAATAACCCTGTCCTTTAAAATTATTTTCAATGACCTACTTTATTATTTTAATTAATTTAAAAAAGAATAAAATTACATTTGTACCCCTGAAGTCAAAAAAACCAACCGTTGGTCTTTCCCCCTCTTTCTTTTCCCATTCGTTTTTCCTTCGTCTTCTTCTTCTTATCCTCTTCGATTCCCTCCGTTTCCTTCAACACAGAAAGCTTCGATTAGACGTTCCATTTCGTTTTGAAAGTAGCGTGGACATTGAAGGTTCGATTTCATTTTGTTTATTTCTTGTTTTCCTTTTCGATCTCGTCTTTTTCCATCGATTTCATCTTATATTTTTAGGGGTTTTAGTTTCCGGCGAGTATTCTGGTTGTTTGAGGTGTATGGGAGGTTGAAGATGACTGTCGTTGTTGGTTTTTCGAATGGGAGGTATTCTCGGGGTTATTTCGTAGGAAGTGGGTTAGGGCTTCGATTGTTTAGAATCTGGAGAATTCTCGGTGGGTTTCGTGCGAAATAGTTTAGGATTGCCAAGGTTTTGGAGTTTGTTCTTAGGAATTTGATGATTTCTCGGTGGTTTTCGGGCAAATTAGGTTACGGATTTGGGAATTTATGAATTCTTGGGGTCTTTCAGGCGTGGTGGATATGCAGTTGGAGTATTAGTTATCGGTTGGATAAATTCTCGGGGCATTTCGGCCATGGTGTGTTGGAAATCCTCTTTTATTTATTTCGCCCGAAATGCCCCGAGAATTTTTACAGACGATAAATAACACTCTAAATTCCCGGGGCATTTCGGGCGAAATAAATTGAAATTGTTGGAGATGTAGGATCTGTCAACTTTCTCGGGGCCCGTTCTCGCCCGTGAAAGTCCACGAGAATTTTTACAGGATTAATGATTCCTGAGCGAAAGGTTCGAGTTCATTAATACTGCCAAAATTCTCGTGCACGACCTCGCCCGAAAATTACCCCGAGAAAGTTGACAGAAATAGTTTTTTTTTTCGGTTTCGTTTAAGGATTGGTTGGTTATTGGTATATATTTATATGTATGGTTTGTAATTTTCTCTGATCATAGGATCATTTATTTACTCATCTACAAGTTAATTCAAAATGGAAATGGTAGCTAAAATCCCTTCCTCATCCTATGCCTCCGCCAATTTGACATGTCTATCGCACTTAGTGAAGACTACCGCAGCCATTAAGAGTAAATTGACCCCACCACAGCTTAGGATGTTTAGGAAAACTATATTCGGCCATCTCCTTGACTTAGACCTCGTATTTAACGGGCCACTGATACACAACATCCTACTTAGGGAGATCGAGGATAGTACACCTGACACCATTAGCTTCAACCTATTTGGGAGTAAGGTGTCATTTGGGCGGAGGGAGTTCGACATTATTTCTGGGCTTAAGTATGATAGGGGTCTAGTTAGAAAAGACACATCTCCCCATAGACTTAGGGCTCTTTACTTTAATGATAGCAACGACGTTCTGTTGAGTGAATTTGAGAAGATTTATTTAGCCGCACGGTTCGAGGATGACTCTAACGCGGTCAAGGTGTCTATTGTATACTTAGTAGAGCTAGTTCTGTTGGGGAGGGAGAGGACCCTGAAGTACGACTATACATTGCTGGGAATAGTCGATGATTGGGAAACGTGCTGCAACCACGACTGGGGG